GATTAAATGAAAAAATGTAGTATTTGATAGCTTTATCTGGATTAACTATGGTTGCACACCTATAATTAATTGTTAGATGTGTAAAACATAAGACTCAACTTTGATTCAGTATCTCTTTGTGTTTGGGACAATAGTATTTTATGGTCAATTGGCAGCATTGACTGATTTTAAAGGTATTAATGGCTTCAAGTGAAACAGTCCAGTATGGCATGATGATTATGCACAATAGATTCATGTATAAAATGAGACATTTCATTTGATTTAAGGGGTTACTTTCAAACAGAATTCTCAGATAGTATGTAACATTTATGACAAGCTTTGCTGGTTATATTTCTATCTTTGGGTCACCAAAATTTATTTACTTTTACTTTTATTCACTTTTATAAAAAGGAACTATGACTATTGTATTATGGCTCCATCTATATCTAATGTGTGTGCATAAAAATATATGTATTATTAGTCACAGTGCTACCAATTCCAGAAACATTAATTCTATTAGTTTGGCTTTGTTTTATTTTGTTTTGTTTTGGATGAATCTTAGGATACAATTTACAGAAAAATTCATTTTATGGTATAAGTAAGAGTCAGGTGTGAAAAACAAACAAAAAAATGTGCATTAAAAAGGAAGATTTTAGGGGCACCTGGGTGGTTCAGTCAGTTAAGCAACCCACTCTTGATATTGGCTCAGGCCATAATCTCATGGTTCATGGGATTGAGCCCTGCATCAGGCTGTGCTCTGACAGTGTGAGCCTACTTGGGATTCTTTCTTTCTCTCTCTCTCTCTCTCTCTGTCTCTCTCAAATAAATAAACATTAAAAAAGGAAGATTTTAGTTTTAAACTGTCAGTAATTTTTTGTACTACAAGAAAATCTTATTTATTTTGCCAATATTCATTATGGCTTTGGTGTAATGAAACATGTGATTTTGCAAAATGTTTCATGGCTCAGAGCAGAATGTATACTTTAAATTGTATATGAAAATAGACACACAAAAGTAAATATGGCTTTTTAAAATGCAAAGATGAAATCAATTATCTTTGTGTTGGGACAGTTTGGGTAGAAAAAGAGAGAATTCTTTCTCTCCCTTTTAATACTATAAGTAATGCAAATCATGGTCTTGATTCTATCATTTCCAACATTTTTTTTTAAAACTTTTTAATGTTTATTTATAGACACAGAATCCAAAACAGGCTCCAGGCTCTGAGCTGTCAGCACAGAGCCCAACGTGGGGCTCGAACTCACGAACCATGAGATCATGACCTGAGCTGAAGTCGGATGCTTAACCGACTGAGCCACCCAGGTGCCCCTCCAGCATTTGTTTTTATTCAATAATGTAAAAGTATGAACAAACTAGATTAGCCTTTACCAAGGTGTGTTCCTTGGAGTATATACATCAGAGGTGTTATCAGAAAGGGGGCTCTATAGTAGATTATATTGGAAGTACCCTGCATTAAACAATGTTAATTACTGAGAGCTTTTAATATGTAAACATTGTGCATTATGAATTTTCTCACATACGTAGTAGCACTTCACAGGTTGCTAAAATTATTTCACAAATAATTCCTAAATTATTAGGAATCCCTAATGTATACCTTAGGAAAGCTGACCTACATCAAATTATCCACTTCTCTTCTAGGGTCCTAGACCCAATTCCAATCTGGGGGGTTCTCAGTCCCCAAACACCCATTATAGGGCACCAGTTTTCAGTTCTGAGAATTGAACTCAATTTTGACACTGTCTTCCAGGAGGTAGCATCAAATTCTACAGGTTAAGGGTTCAGTCCTATAAGACTGCCCTCTACCCCTAACTGCAGATGTCACTGGCAAGCCCCAGGCTGTGATCTGTGCTTTTGGCTAACTGGCTGCAGATTGGAAGTTCCAATGGGCTCCTCTTTCAGCTTGAGTAATTTGCTAGAGCAGCTCTCAGAACTCAGAGAAACCCATTTACCAGTTTATTAAGGGATATAAAGGATACGCATCCACAACCAGATGAAATGATACGCTAAGCAAGTAGGGGAAAGGGCGCAGATCTTCCACATTCTCTCCAGGAGTGCCCCTCCTGCATCTCCTCACATTCACCAAGCTGCAAGTTCCCCTTTTGGGTTTTTATAGAGGTTTTATTACATATGCACAATTGACTGAGTCATGGGCCAAGGACTGATTCAACCTCCAGCATCTCTGTTTCTCCCCAGAGGAGAGGTAGGGGTGGGACTGAAAGTTCCAACCCTCTAATCACGGGGTTGGTCCTAACAGCAAGCAACCCTGCCATTGGTTGGGATCCAAAACCCATCATCATTTACATAACAAAAGACTTTCATCACCCTTATCACAGGAAATTCCAAACGTTTTAGGAGCTGTGAGCCAGGAACATGGGGGTAGACAAAATATATTTGAGGAATATATTTTGGTCATCTGAATGATGACAATATATATTTTTTATAAATCACAGTATTGCAACTTGCAAAATATTAGCACTGTTATTCTTCATTTTTAACTACAGCTTTTCTCAGTAGCAATGCTTTTATTAATCATAGCAAGGCTAGAGCAGTCCTTCCTGCCTTCTTGGTCCACTTAGTCTGCCTCTGGTACCATCACTTCATCTACAACTAATGACACTGGCTAGAGCTGAGGCTCTGCTGATTCAGAACCTCAGAAACCAACTGATGATTCATTCCTTAGGTAAGCAGCACCTGTCAGCACAAATGGCTTTATTGGATGGTAGGACTGTTCATACAGATGAGTGGGAGAGAAGAGGAAATCTGTAGCTGGTGGATGGCTAAACCAAGAGAGAAAAGAATTGGGTCTGCTTTTGTTCTTGGGAGAGAGAGACCACTAGATCTGTCATGGGGTTGTAGAAACCATAAGGCAAGAATTAGTAAGAAAGGGCAAAGCATTGGGTCCTAGATGCCGCTGACAGTATGTGGGACTGAAAATGTATTAGGTATGTTTTAAAAAATGTTTAAAGTTCATGTTATTATAGCTATTTGATTTCAAAAGAAATATTTCTTTAATTATTCTTAAGGTTGGTAGAAATTCCACATATACAGATAGGCTGATTGACTATCTTAATCACTTGAAAAATTACTCTAAAGTTATGTCGTTTATTGAGAGATATTACAGATTTATAAAAGACTGAGTGAAAGAGAGTTCTTTAGTATAGAATGATTAGGCGAGTGAGATGTCATGGTGATTATTCCCCAGGATAAATCATCTAGTATCCATCGACCTAATTTTCTTTGTTTGTGAATGGGGATGCTGAAGAGGAAGGAAGAGATACAATACACACATACACAGAGAAAGGTTCTTAGGTAATTGACAGCTAGACCCTGCTGGGGCAGAGATGAAAATTACATGATTCCTCTTCTCAAACATTACAATAAAATAGGAAGAATCAAATGTGACACAAAAGTGAGAATAGCATGCTCTGACAATTCAGAGGAAGGAATGATAGCTCTGTGGAAGAGTTTGGGAAGGCTTCTTGGTGGTAACATGTGCTAAAGTTATGACTAATAGGCATGATGTCAGTGGCAAGAAATCGGAATGATTAAAAAAGGAAAAGTTCAGACTAAAGAAGGCAGTATTAACATCTTTCTTCCCACCCAACTTGAGATCAAAGGAACCTATGAAAGTCCTAGGATGTGATTTGGGAAATTCTCCCAGGTTTTACCCTCCACCCTCCACTTCAGTTTTTCATTCTCTTCTCACCTAATTGCTATCCCATTTGTCTCTATAAGGATTTTCTGTTTCTACCTAAGCCATTTAAATTGATAACAGCTCCTCCAAACTTTTGGTAACCTTTTTTTTCTCAAAATGTTGCCTACCCTACTCTGCCCTGCTTCTACCTCTGCTTCTAAATGCCTGAAACATCCGATTTCCCAACTCCCATTTGCCTGGGGGTATAACCAGACAGGTGAGCATCAACTTGAGGAACCAGAAAGAGGCCAGAAAATGAGAGCTGTGTTTATAGGAGAACTTCTGTTCCATTTTGGTTGAAAATGATGGTAGGTGAAAAGGAGTAGTGTGAAATAAATCCCTGAAAACAGATGGAAGTCCTCTCATGAAATCCTTGAATGCTCATTTAGCTAAAAATGTCAGGCTAGCTTTTTTTGTAAGGAATGGGAAAGTATTTAATATATTTAATCAAGACAGTAACATACTCTAGATTTTTCATTATGAAGGTTAATTTGGTGGCTATGAATCAAATGGGTTGGCTGGGGGAAGGCTCATGTAGGAGTTAATAGAACTTGGTCTGGAGTCATGGTACTTGGAAGGCAAAAGAGAAGGAAATATGAAAGAACGATTTTGGAAGTCAAATCAATAGGATATTACAACTGACTAAAAATAAGGCTGAGGAAAGGGCACCGGTGATGTATCTCCAAGAAGTGCTGGATAACAACAGGTGTCTTTGAAACTTAGCAGATGGGATTATTAACAAGAAACAGGCAAGTGGAGAGAATCTGAGATTAGTATTGGGTTGATCCGTGGGGAGCAAAGGAATGTATGTTTTAAAGAGTTTCTGATGAGGAGATTCTTTAATAAACATTACACTAAAACTTTACACACATGTTTTATTTTGATCACTAAGTAGTAGATAGAATAAGTCCATTATGATTTAATGCTATTGGTTCTTCAATGACTGTCTTCACCAAATATAATATGAAAATATATGAGTAAAAAGTGCTTTGGAAAATCAAAGATGCATATAAAATAACTTTAAACATAATTTTAGATGCAAAAATGGTTTCTTAAGAAAATGGTAAAAATAAAAACAGTGATTTTTTTATAATAACAGCTAATATCTATCAAAGCTTTCCATATGCTATTTATATTGTATGTATTATCCTGTCTAATATTTATATTTTATTTTTTCCACCATACAGTTGAAGCTTAGAAAGGTTAAGTATCTTTCCCAGGGTCATAAAGTAGCACAGCCAAATTTCAAACACCACATTTTATTGCCTTATTGAAAAACTAAAGAGTTTTTTTTTTCTTTCATACCTAGGATACTTTTCAAGGAAACTTCTGGATGTGGTGCCATAGAGAGACGTATGTCCGCATTTAAAAGTAAGCACAAATATTTAATCTCATAATGTGTTTTATTCATCATACTCCTATTTGTTTGCACTGTTATTGCCATAATGTTATCAGGTGTGCATTAAACAATAAATATTTGACTCCAAAGGAGTCATTTTTGTTTTCTTCTGGAAATCTTTCCTAGCACCTTAGCTCTCTAGAGGAGCCTTGTGTTGAAAATTCTAGTATTGAAAATTGAAAAGCCTAGTATTGAAAATTCGGAGGGAAGGTAAATGTAGAGTGAAGACAGGGCAGAGCAGGGCACTAAAGACTCACTTGTCAGTTTCACAGTTTTTTTTTTTTTTTTTTTCCTGGAGCTCACTGTGATCAGTCTTTACATATTACTTCTATGCAAATTACTTCTGAATCTACCAAGAGTTGCTTTCCATATTGAAAACCGTAGTAATATATGAATATTTCTCTTTTTATAGTGGCGTGCTTCTTTTCAGTTGTGGGTTCGTTAAGGCTTATGCAATTTAGTCACCTGAGTTCTAATTTTTCTAGACTGGAATACTTTTTATGGTGATTATTATCATTGAGGAAAAAAGTGACTCCCAAGCCTCATTTTATTTAGCCAGTGTTTCTCAATCCAGATGCAATCTAAAATCATTTGAAGAAATTCAAGAACTATTGATGCCCAGATTTTATTGGAAACCAATTATAGTTACAGAATCTTTGGCATGGGACCTTAGTATAGTGTATTTTAAAGTTCCCAGATGATTCTGGTGTGCACCAGGGTTGCAAACTATACTTTAATGCCTTGTTTCCAATCAAGCACAAAAATGGAGCCTGTACCACAGTTGTTTATAAAAAAAAAAAAAAAGAATGATAACAACAAAAACAAAAGTGAGTGCTTAGGATCTGCAATTATTAAGTGTTGACTGTTGAAGGGTAACTGAATGTTTTGCATGGTTCAACATAATAAATTCATAAAATGTGTATGAGTAGAAGAAGATTTTTAGGTAGAAATGTGAATCATTCTCAGAAAAATAGAAATGGCATCAGATAAACCTTGAAAATCTGAGGATAGCATTATAATTCAAATATCACTTGGGTAAAATTTAGCTTTTTGATATCTTTGTATTAATATGAGTTTATTTTAATCCAGATTCTTAAAGAGTTAAAATTTTACTTAATGTTACAATTTGATCAAAGTTTTACTTACAAACAGAATAATTTCTCTTGACAAAGTTTATGAATTTCCTGAAAAAATAGTGTTCTATTCATTTTTTTTCTGAAATAGCAGCATAATTATTGCCTTAAATCAGTTTCATAATCAAATAAAGCTGGAAAATAGAAACAAAAACAATTTTGTATTTTTGACTCATTCCTTCAATTCACATTTTCTTTGACATGTGGAATCCTGGTTATAACATATTATTTATTTAGCTTTACTTAAAATGAGAATGCTTTGATTTGTCAAGTACAAATTCATCTATAAATGATAGATTGCTTGTAGAAGTTGCTTTTAGAGTCTTGGTTGAGTGTTATTGGATCCTTTTCCTAAGTCACCAAGGTTCACTTGGATTGAATATAAGTGTACTAGCTCTTAGACACCTGTTTGTGTTGTGAACAGATCTTAACTATCTCAACATGCCAGTGGTATATCATAATGGCCACTGTCAAGACACACGGCCTGGAATTACTTTGATTATGGGGGTTCTAAGGAGTACCCGTGATTGATTCCCACAAGGCTAAGGGCCATTTAAACTACTGAGGGCATTTATTGTAATGTACTCTTTAAGTGGTCTTAACAGGACACCATGAGACTAAAAGTGGAGTTACTTAGACATCCTTTTGCCAAGAGTGATTTCTGGTTTTGATGTCATTATGAAAGCCCTTTACTGTTTCCACTCCTTTTCCTCACATAAATCCTTATCTTTGTGATCTACTTTAGCCTTACTCATTTTCAAGAATAATTGGTTTGGTGCCATTTTATTTCCTAATCACTAAACTATTTCCTTTTTCGCCATAGGTTAGTTCCTTCTCCTTCCCTAACTCTCCCTTCTCCTCCCCTTCTCCCTCTATCCTTCTCTCCTTCCCTTCCTCGCTTCACCCATCCTTCCTTCCTTCCTACCTTCCTTCCTTCCCTCCTTCCTTTTCCTTTCATTTACTCCCCATTCTTCCATCTCTGTTTCTCTTTCTTCTTAATTATAATTTCTCGTCATAATCACAATATGACTAGGGCGTCTGGGTTGGTTGCAGAGTTAAGCATCCTGCTTCAGCTCAGGTCATGATTTCATGGTTCACGAGTTTGAGCTTGGCATCGAGTATGGAGCCGGCTTCAGATCCTGTCTTCCTCTCTCTCTGGCCCTCCCCTGCTCATGCTCTCACTCTTTCTCTCTAAAGAATAAATAAAAATTTAAAAAATAATCAGGGGCGCCTGGGTGGCTCAGTCGGTTAAGCGTCCAACTTCAGCTCAGGTCATGATCTCGCAATTCATGGGTTTGAGCCCCGTGTTGTGCTCTGTACTGACAGCTCAGAGACTGGAGCCTGCTTCAGATTCTGTGTCTCCCTCTCTCTCTACCCTTCCCCTGCTCATGCTCTCTCTCTCTCTCTCTCTCTCTCTCTCTCTCTCTCTCTCTCTCTCAAAAATAAACATCAAAAAATTTTTTTTAATTAAAAATAATCAGAATATGACTTAGTCAAGAAGTATCTATTGAATGCCATCAGTCCATAGCACTGACAGTTACCAATTGTTAGGGATTGTTTTGAAGGGCATAAATTGAGCTATTAGTTCAGAGTATTTGAGCTTCTTTCTTTTTTTCTAGTGCTTTTATCTAGTTTCTGACTTTTAGATCCCTTTGCATTATTTTGCAAGGATTTTATAAAGTCATCCCTTTGTGAAAATGTACTGCTTTGTTGAATCTCATGGAATTTTTATTGATTTGCAGTGCCTTCATCTTGGGACAAATCTTCACTTACGTTGGATGATATATTTTTGTGTTAGCGTTCCTTTTATTGTTTGCTATCTGTGTTCTGTTTGACGTTTTGATTTTCTAGCCTTCAAGTAAAGGTTTTATCTTGATGGCTCAATGCAGAGTTTCCAACATATTATATTTGAATACTTTTCACTGAGGTTAAATTAAAAAAATAAAATTATTAATAATGGTATTGCCCTTTCCTTAATTGGCACTGTTTGTAGAGTTTACAAAGCAGGTGACTGGCAGTTGTATTTCTCTTTATATGGCTGATGATCTGGATTTTCTCCTTTCTCTGATACTTTAAACTGTATCTTGACTTCTGAGCTGTTACTGAAGTAAAATGTCTTTTCTATCTATTTCATAAGTTTGTTTTGAGTCTTAACTGGTACAATGTGTGATAACCTTTTGCTAACTGTAAAGCATTGTGCAAAAGTAAAGGGTTACTATTGCCTGAAAAAAAAAAAGATGTATATCTTAATCAAATTTCAGCTTTTAAAAATACCAAAAAGTTTAGTGATGATAGCATTTGATGGAAAAGGGGGGAAAAGAAGAAGAAAAAAAATCTAAAAACTCCAAATATGGAGGAAAAAAAGGTGAATAGTACAATTTGAGACAGCATCTAGGAAAGAAAAAAGAATTTGGAAGTTACTCAGTTGTACAGTCTGTGATGACAGAATTCATCACAAAAAACAGATTTATATATGTAATTTTAATGAATATTTCTTAACTATGAAAAGATTGTAGAAGAGATGATAGATGGGGCAGATATGAATAGAGGAGTTAGTAGCAAATTGATGACACATCTAACACACAGGAGAGTAAATAAGCTTTACTCTAAAATGAAAGCTTTAACCTGAACTCTAATTTCATTTTGTTGAAGTTATAGCTCTAGTGCATGTGTAAAATGAGCAAATACATTGATTAGGGTAAGTGATAATTCCTTAATCCTTCTTAACCATTATTTTCTTCTACTAAACTGTATTTGGGAAAGTTGGTGGATGAGGAGAAAAGTATGAGGGTATGTTGTTGCATTTTAACCTTTCACAAGAGTACTTGATGTAGTCAAAGACACTGACTTTAAAATTTAAAAGTGTGGGTTTTAAAACCCAGCATTTAGGGGGTGCCTGGGTGGCTCAGTGCATTAAACATCCAATTCTTGATGTCAGTTCAGGTCGTGATCTCACCATCACGACATAGAGCCCCACATTGAGCGCTGCACTGGGCGCAGATCCTCCTTGGGATTCTCTCTCTCCCTCTCCTCTGCTCCTCCTCAGCTCATGCATGCTCTCTCTTTCTCTCTCTCTCTCTCTCTCTCTCTCTCAAAAAAAAAGTGAAAAATAAATAAATAATAAAAATAAATAAAATCTAGCATTTACAGTTTAACAATGAGGAACATTGATTTAGAGCAGAGTTTCTCAGTCTTATATGCATGTGAATCATCTGGAAGTCTTGCTAAAATGCAGATTATGATTCATCAGGTCCAATGAGTGGCCCAGGAGTCTCCTAGTGGTGCTTGGTGTTGCTCTGCCATGGACCACACCTTGATTAGGAAGAATATTCCATTTATTTGCATTTTATCACACAGTGGACAAGAAGTAGAGTTCAAATTCAGTGTTCTTATCAACGCTCACAAAGTTGGCATTAGCTAACCATAAAATTCCTTCTGTTTTCCTGGAGCATGGATATTCAATGACAAAATAAAAATGAACAAGCACTTCTGCATCGTTTACATTTCATACATATGCTGAAACCTGATAGATACAGTGTGCATATATGATTTTATCTACTGTAAAGTAGCATATATGCTACACACAAGAAAAAGATCCTTTTGCCTTTTGTGCCCCTGCAGTACATTAACATTGACAGTGTTAATTTGACAGAGATGTTGGCAATACCTTCACTGTGTTTTCACTTCCTTTTTTATATTGGGGTAAAATTCACATAACATAAAGTTCGTTTTTTCAGCATTTAAAAATGTACAATTAAGTGCATTAACAGTGTTGTGCAACCATCACAACTATCTTATTCCAGAAAATTTTTATCACCCCAGAAAGCAATGCTTAGTGT